CTATTGGCGCTTTTCCACTGCGTGGTACGACTCGGCTCAGCATGGCTCGGTTTGCATTTCCTCTGAAGTTTAGTATCGCTTTAGAGTGGGCGGGATTATTCACATGTCGTTATAGTTGCGCCGCCTCTACTGCCGCGACTCCTAAAACACTTTTTCATTCCGCTTCGCCCCATCAAGCTCTTGCTGGATCCGCTCCTCTGCTATCAACGAGAGGAACGTCTGTACTTCCTCAACAGACAACGAAACAGCCATTTTTTGGTTGTTAAAAAAGGTTCGCTCGTTCAAAACAGTTGCGTTCGATCCTTCGCTGGCTGTGCTGATTTAAATCTAGCGGTTCTGTTGTGTTTGTGTCGCAAGTTCAGTGACGCAGTAGTGACGATTCTCTCCGGCCAATCCGTGATCTGCAGAGTTTACACGTCACGTTTTGGTAACGGTACGGTTCACTTGGAACCTCAACCGAGGTGGTACTAAAAAAAGTACCAGGTACTGTACCCAGAGGAAAACCCCCCAAAAGTGAACCGTACTGAGCCGTACCGTGCCGTACCATGCAGTGGAAAAGCGCCATTAGTGTACACTTTTTAGATGTGACTTCTGTCCCATCACTGTAGATCAAATCTAATCTGAATATGATTGTGAGTGCGTCCCTGCTTAAGGCCGGGGTCCCGTCGCAGCCACCGAGTCCCATATGCCTTGTTTGCAATAAATCACAGACAATTGAGAAATGTTTGTGCTGTTTAGACTCTCTAAAATGTTGTATTGAGCCATACAAATTTAAGTTTTGATTTCCATTTTCATTACAGGCATTAATGTTAACTAAAAAAGAGCATAAATAAGAACTCGTATGCTGTCTGACAGAAGATAAAAGATGACTGATTATCTATTTCTTTCTTTCTTTCTGTCTGTCTGTCTGTCTGTCTTTCTCAGAATTTACATAGGGAAACGGTTGGCCTCCTCCTCCACCAGCACACTGTGACATGTGACATTTGGCAGCTCACTGATTGGCTGAGGCCGCTGCCACTAGCACTGTAGCCCAATCACGCCTCTTTTCTCCTCCTGTGATGGGAAACAGCCTCTTCTGCCTCTGTCTGTGTTTGTCCCGTTTCACCACAAAACCAATCTGTCTGTGTCTCTTTCTCTGTATCCACATACAGTATTTACAGGGGTCATATCATGAGCAATCAATCTGTCCTTGATATTTCTAGATAAAAGAGCCTGATGTTCTATGACACTATATGTTTCAGAAGGATATACATGTTCAAAAGCTATAACAACTTATTCCGAACTCCTCTGAAGACCTAAACTTTAAGATTGATGTATTTGAATTGCATATAAAATTTCCATTCATTTAAACTTAATGTGATGCATTTTAAATAACTAACTTTATATATTTATAATCAATAAATCCAATTTGTTTCAGTCTCATACATTTTAAGTAAACGAATATCGCTTATTCCACAGCTAGCCATATTTTAACCATGTTTATACTTTTTAACTGAATAAATTTTAATGTTTTCACAATGGAACAGTTTATTCTGATTCTAAGCAAATCAAATAAATGCATTTTGAAAATATTATTGTTTGAGTAAAATAGATGCAAATAGTTAATAAAATAATAATGAAGTGCAGAATTCATACCTGTTTCTTAGCCACATTAAGTTTATTAGTTTATATCAGAACCGTGTAATCCAAAGGGACGGAAATTTTATATGCAATTCAAATATGTAAATATTACATTTAGGGCTAAATATTTCTGATGTCAGACTGATTAATACGTTATCACATGACTGACCAAATTTAGATATTCTATATGTTTTTGTGCAGAATTTGCTGTAAGAGTTAGAACAGGTCAAAAATGTTCATGCAAAGAAAATTACAATTGTTTTTGGTGCAAAAAAGCATAAGTGGAGCTCAGGGAAAACTTTATGTATGATATGACCCCTTTAACCACCTGTAAGAGTCTTTTTAAGACTAAACTGTCCCTTTAAATCTTTTTGTAGTTGTTTCTGTAGTCCATTAAGGACCGTGTGTGTCAGGTCTAATACAGTACAATTACTACAGGGAACACAGAAACAGTAATGCACTGAAATCTAGCTGAAAGAGTGTAAGAGAGGAGGAAACTGACAGTGAGCGAAACAAAAAATGTATTATTTTACATCTAAATCAAATGCAAGACATACATTCAGTTTGAGACAGTGTTCAGTAAGGGATAGGGTATGACCGAATCCTTTTATTTGTGTGGAGCAAAACAATGTGACAAATCTCATGTTGCAGTAACGTGTTTGCAATATAGACACATTCCATGTTGTAATGTGAAGGTAACTGGACTTCACCAGGTTATCTGGTCAGATTAATCTAATTTGTAATGACTCGACCATAATAAATGTCACTCTTACCACCTTCTGCTTGCTCTGGTGTGTAAAAATGAATGTAGATGTAGATCTGTTGAAAATAGATGTGAGGCTTTCACCTTTAACTAAAAAAATACAAATCATTATCTTGTTTTATTGAGCATATAATCTTTGAAGTACCTTTGAATAGAAATGCCATGATAAATGAATATAATTATGGGTAGTTATAAAATATGATGAAATATAAAAAAGTGGCTGTATAAGGGGAAGTGTATAATTTAATTATACTTGTAATGTTCCTGTGGTTCAGTGGTAGAGCATTGTGTTAGCAGCGCAAAAGGTCTTGGGTTCGATTCCCAGGAAACACACATACTGGTAGAAAATGTATAGCCTGAATGCACTGTAAGTCAAGTGTCTGCATAAATTAATAATTTAATATTGTCACCATTTATTTGACATGTTTTCACTATTTTTAGTCACTTTTTCCCTTCATTGATGTATTTCAATGGTCCTGTGACAAGTTTTTAAAAATGCTAATATTTGATGTATTCAATGTCAAAGTAACTCATATCAGCTTCCCATATATCAAAATACTGTGATATTTCAATCTGATACCTTTACTGTTTATAAAACAATGAAACAAGACAAATACACATTTAAGATGCATTCTCAAAACAAAAAAACCTTAATATCTTATAATAAAAAAATGTTACTTCAGAAATGTTACTTTTACTTTTGTGCAGTGAAACAAGGCAAGTATACCGATTAAGATTAAAAAACAATATATTTTTTTGTGGCATAGAATGCAGGAATTAGAATTTGTATTTATTTATTTATATTTTATTATAATTTTTTTTATTTTTAATTAAAAATTCTGGTGCGTTTTGTCCTTTTTTGGAGTCACTGTTTGCTTTTATTGTACAGAAAAGAGCAACTTTCCACAGAGGAATGAAAATCAAACAGGTCTGAAGCAACATGAGGGTGAGTAAATAATGACAGAACTCTAATTTTTGGGTGATAATAATAATAGATGTTGCATGTATTACTACTAAGTAGTCAGGCGTCACTATTTAATAAAATAATGTTTAAAAGAAGCTCAGGGAAGATGTTCATGGAATACACAATAACATGCGGACAGATAATGGGAAAGGGAATAAATGGAAAGGGACTGACACTTTTGTGATCATGTAACAGGGCAGTGTGATTCCCTGAACATGCACCAGAGGTCAGAAGTGCTCTATAGTGTGCACTGTGCAGTACACAATAATGAGACACCTGCAGGTAATATGGGAGTTATGGCAGGGTTCTACACTTACATTTTTCTTTAGAAGTTGTGTTCCTAATTTAGGAGCACAGTCAGAAATTTAGGAGCACCTTCTGATTAAGGATATAAATTAAATTCCCCATTATGGGGATTTATTTTTTCAGCTTCAATTAAATTCTAATTTTTTTTTTTTTTTTTTTTACCTTTTACCTTTTACCTTTTATAAGGGAAACCTTAGTAAATGAGTCATTTATTTATGTCAGACTCTTAAATTTAAATGGATACATTTGTTTAAAGATTTTAATTAAAACAGTAAATTATAATCTTTTTACTAAATTTTAATAAAAACAATTAGAGTAAGACAATTAAATTGATAGACATGTTACTTAAATCTGAAACTTAAACCATCAGTAGGTGGCGGCGTTTAGTCTTTGTCATTGAATCATTTATTAAATCGATTCATTCAGGAACTAAACAACTGCTGTCTTTATAGTTTGTTCTTTGAATCACTGACTCGTTCGTTCTGATTCGTTCAAAACATTGATTCATTCAGGAACAAAACTCTGCTTTGTTTTGATCAGAGATGCGCAACGGTTCTTTTTTGGCTTGTTTGGACTATTTTCTTTGGCAAAATGGAGCGAAAACAGATCATATTGTGTCTAAAATGTAAGTCACTTGATATTATCTTCTTGTTTATTGAATTATTATTGTATATATAATCCATTTCACATTAGCAATTGTGCTGATATTCTGGGAAAACGGCACTCTGGGTCATGTGATATTTCTTATTTATATCATATATTATAAATATTAAAAACACAAACTCATACAGGGGTATTTTTGCCCCAATGTATTGAATTTTGGGGGCATTTTTACTGATTTTAGTGGCATTTTCGGCACAAGCCCCACTAATTGTCGATAATGCATTTGATAATCACATTTTATTTGACAGGCTGCAGAGAAACAACAGCAGCTCTTAAACATAAATGTACAAAAACTTATATTTCAATGTCTGGTTTTGAACATTAAGTATAGTCAACACTTTTGTGTGACTGAAGGCATGAGTGAAACGTAACTGATGTATTTTGGGAGTTGTAGTTTTTAATCCAATCGCATTACATATTCATGCTCGTACTTGGGGTAGTAATTTGAACAAACCTCAGACACATTAAACTTTGACCCTAGTAAAACGCATTGCAATGCATTGGCAACCATCCACAACATAATTTTGCTGGTGAGTTTTGTTAATGAGTATTGTTTCATTAATTACAGTATTCATATAATTTTTCCTATTTTCTCAGAAGACAGAATTTTCCAGCATGGTATTCCTTCTCTCCTTGTCTCTTTACTTTCTTCTGCACCTTCTCACTTGTGATGGAAGGGTGGCAGAATTAAATTTAGTGCAGTAAAAATTAAGACAAAGTAGCCGGAGTTTAGCTTGTAATTTTTACAGAGGCACAGATTTAGACAAAGCGGGAGGAAAAACAACAGTGACGTATTGATCAAAGCCTGTCGGCCTCTTGTTCAGGAAATTGATCGTCAGGAATAAAAAGCCCTGGGAGATGACGGATGAAGGGGTAGAAGCACTTGGCATGAGCAGCGTCTCCCTGCCGTCAAATCCAATAACTTCATAAAGGCTTGAGCAACTGCAGAACCCAGCAGAACCTGTTGCTTCTGAGAGATGAGCTACTGATAGCTGTTTAAGAAACTCCTCATGATGAATCTCATCAATATGCCAGGGTTGTATTTCACTCCAAAGTCAAAAGCAAGGAAATGAGAAGTTATATTTTGCATAGAGAAAATTAAGCCTATTTTAGGACCATTAAGATTTCTTGAATTGTGACATTAGTTTGCACTGTAAAGCGTCCATACATCCAGTTTTCAGATTCAGTGGCTCCCAACTCCAACTTTCATTTATTGTGATGAACAAATATTTAGTCTATTTTATTTATCGATTTTTATTGTATTTATTTGCAAATTACAGTAATGAGATACAGTAATACAGTAATGGAAAAAATATCAGTGGTTCTTAAAATAGTCATTTATTTTCTTTATGTTATTTATTTTATCTTCATGCAGAATGTAATTTCTTTTGAAATTGTGTAATGTGAAATTATGTAGTATGCCTAACCTTCAGATCAGGAGGTGAGTTATGGTTGTGTTCATAAATCTGAAGTCTGCTGAATGTAGAAGACGTCTAGAGGTGGACTTTGTGTCTATATGTTTGTGTGTGTATTTTCTCAGACTTTGGTTTTCTTTGTTCTTTATGTCAGAACACATTACCTGTTCTCTAAACATGTGTTCACATCTATAACCATCACCGGGGTGTGAAGTCAGCACACACGCGCACACACACACACACACACACACTTCACATACTGAAAATAGACACGAAAGGATGTGAGGGTGAATCTCACATAACTTGTCATGGAATATGTCCAGGTTATATTTCACCCAGGTTATATTTTCTTTTGCATTTACATATTTATAGATAATGGTAGTATTTGTTGCATTGTCTTTAATTTATGCTTGTTTCTAAAAAAAACAAAAAAAAAAGGAAAAAAAAAAACACTTTTATGTTACAGATTCACCACTGAGAGCAATGGAATGATGAACTCAAAGGTAAAACATCTGGATGCATTACAGTACCAGTATTGCGAATTTGGGGGAAAATAGTTTTGTTTATGATGAAAAATGCAAAGAATCTTAATAGTCCTAAAACAGACTTTTAAATATTTATGTGTTTATTTAATTTTATGTTTCTTAATTAATAGTTTGTTCTTTTTTTTCATTCAGATTTTGATGTGAACTGTGACATGCTTTCATGAGATAAACCCATTAAAGGGACAATATTTTATACTTTTGAAGCATTTTTTCCCCTTGATCTAAAGTTCACTGCTAATGTTATTCAAGGTTTCTTGCAGTCATAATTTAGTTTTTTTAGTAATTTATTAGTCACTTTAGTCATGTTTTTTTATTGCTGTACCTTTAAGATGTCTAGGCTATATGTCAGTGACCTCTATTATGATTGACTAACCTCTGTGTGCTGGTTTAGTGCGCATTGCCGTTCATCAGGATGAGTCAAGTTGCAGAATACTGAATCGGTGTTGATATGTAAATGTGGTTGATCATATGTTAATGAGCGTATGGCTGTGACTCAGTGACATTTATTTCTGAATGACCAGTTTTTGCAAATGCCTGCAAAGTGCATAAAAGTCTTTTCTTTGAAAAATCCGGTTTTCCATGGTATGCACCCTTTTAAGCCACTACACTTTGAAAATGAAATCATATTTGCTCTTTAGTGGTAAAATTTGACCTGAATAGAGTGAATTGAAGGTGAAATGCCATCTCACGTATGTGTCTAGTCATCTTTTCTTCTCATCCATCACATTTAGAGTCCAGATGTGACCTAGTGATACAGAGGCGTCGTACACACACGCTGCTCTACGATG